AAAAAAAAAAAAAAAGGGGTCATAGGGCCAGGCGCGGTGGCTCACGCCTGTAATCCCAGCACTTTGGGAGGCCAAGGCGGGTGGATCACCTGAGCTCAGGAGTTTGAGACCAGCCTGGCCAACATAGCAAAACTCCATCTCTACTAAAAATACAAAAATTAGCCAGGTGTGGGGGCAGGCACCTGTAGTCCCAGCTCCTCAGGAGGCTGAGGCAGGAGAATAACTTGAACCTGGAAAGTGGAGGTTGCAGTGAGCCGAGATGGTGCCACTACGCTTCCGCCTGGGTGACAGAGCAAGACTCCGTCTGAAAAAAAAAAGGTGGGATCATAACCACCACGTTGTGTACTTAGTCTGTTGGGCTGGGACTAAGCATTTTCCCAACATTATCTTATTTACTACCACAGCCCTGCAAAGTAGAGATTATTATCCCCATTTTCCAGATGAAGAAACTGAGGTCTGGAGAGGTTAAGTACTTTTTTTTTTTTTTTTAACGGAGTGTTGCTGTGTCACCAGGCTGGAGTGAAGTGGTGCAATCTTGGCTCACTGCAACCTCCGCCTCCCGGGTTCAAGTGATTCTCCTCCCTCAGCCTCTTGAGTAGCTGAGATTACAGGTGTGCACTACCACACCAGCTAATTTTTTTGTATTTTTAGTAGAGACAGGGTTTCACCATGTTGGCCTCGATGGAGAGGTTAAGTAATTTTACAGTGAATTGTACAACTGGGTCAAAACATAGATCTGTCTGACCACAGAGCCTGCACTTTAAAAAAAACTTTTGGGCCTGGGTGCGGTGGCTCACGCCTGTAATCCCAGCACTTTGGGAGGCCGAGGCAGGCAGATCACGAGGTCAGGAGATCGAGACCATCCTGGCTAACATGGTGAAACCCCGTCTTTACTAAAAATACAAAAAATTAGCTGAGTGTGGTGGCACACGTCTGTAGTCCCAGCTACTTGGGAGTCTGAGGCAGGAGAATCGCTTGAACCCAGGAGGCGAAGGTTGCAATGAGTCGAGATCATGCCACTGCACGCCAGCCTGAGCAACAGAGCAAGACTCCATCTCAAAAAAAAAAAAAAAAAAACCTTGTAAGCGTTATCCAAGCTGCTAACAGGAGTTTGTGCCTTCTCGTTGCCATGCAGTATTTAGTAGATGAATATACCATAATTATCCATTCCAATGCTAGTGGGCATTTAGGTTATTTTCTGGTTTTGGCCATTACAAATAGTGCTGCTGAGAACATTCTAGTGTAGATCTTTTGGTGCACATTTACTATGCATTTCTGTTGGGTATATACCTAGGAGTGGAATTGCTAAATGTTGAACGCATGTATGTTCAGCTTTAGTAAATAGTGAATAGTGTTAAACACTGTTCCCATTATATTCCCAGTTCACACCAATTTGCCCTGCCACCAGCCCTGTGGGAGATTTCCCACTGTTCCCTATCTTCCCCAATGCCAGGTGTTGCCCATGTTGTTGCTGTTGTTGTGTTCAGTTGAGCCAGTGGGCGTGGGAAATGGCATCTCCTTGTGGTTTTACTGTGCATTTCCCTAATAGTAAAGAAGCTGAGTGCTTTTCACATTTTTATTGTCTGTTTTGCTATGTTCCTTTATGAAATACCTGTTCAAATCTTTCACTCTTTTTTCTTCTTCTTTTTTTTGAGACAAGGTCTGTCTTTGTCTCCCAGGCTAGAGCGCAGTGGTGCAGTCACAGCTCACTGCAGCCTCAACCTCTTGGGCTCAGGTGATCCTCCCACCTCAGCCTCCCAAGTAGCTGGGACTACAGGCATATGCCACCGTGCCCAGCTAATTCTTTTTGTATTTTTTGTAGAGACAGGGTTTCGCCCTGTTGCCCGGGCTGGTCATGAACTCCTGGGCTCAAGCGATTTGCCCACCTCTGGCTCCCAAAGTGCTGGGATTACAGGCATGAGCCACCGCACCCAGGTTCTTCGTGGTATCTTTTGATGAACAGACTTTTTAATTTTGAGGCAGTCCAGTTTATCAATTTCTTTCTCTTCATGTGAGATCATTGCTTATTCTAAAGTCATAAAGATATACTCTTGTGTTTTCTTCTAGAAACCTTGTTGTTTTACCTTTCACACTTATATCTGTCATCTATCTCAAATTAATTTTTGTGTATGCATGAACAGAAGTTTCTTTGCTTCAGTGTAGATAAGTTTATAATTTTCTACCTCCTGGTTAGCACCTCTTGAGTCCCAGTTAAGAAATCTTTAGCTATGCTAAAGTCATGAAGCTAGTAGGAGGCTTCACTTTTTTTGTTTTTTTAACAGGCTTAATTCACTTTATTTTTCTTGTATAAAAACCCTGTGTTGTAGCCACAGCTGGAGCCTGGGCCCGCTGCACGGAGACTCTGGTGCGGGTCTTGACAAGGTGGTCAGTGAATTTCTGATAGGGAGACTTGGTAAACACAGTCTCCTTCCAGAGGTCAGGCGTCAGGTAGCTGTAGGTCTTAGAGATGGCATCAAAGGTGGCCTTGGCGAAGTTGCCCAGGGTGGCAGTGCAGCCCCGGGCTGCGGTGTAGCAGTCATCAATACCAGCCATCATGAGCAGCTTCTTGGGCACAGGCGCTGAGACCATGCCAGTGCCCCTGGGTGCAGGCATGAGGCGCACCAGCACAGAGCCGCAGCGGCCTGTCACCTTGCAAGGGACGGTGTGGGGCTTGCCAGTCTTGTTCCCCCAGTAGCCTCTGCGCACTGGGACAATGGAGAGTTTGGCCAGGAT